TGTTTCACCCTCTCGACACAAGTCAACAATGAGTTTTTTTTCGTGTTTCAGAAAGTGAACAATATTGTTGAAACAAAAAATTGAGGAAGAAATCAAAGTTTCCATTTTACCCCATTTTTCCTTTAACTTACAATTCCTACGACGTAGTCTTAGAACAATTTGTTTTTATAACCTTCAAATGAACTTGGAACAATAGATTTGATCCACTTCAAGTCATTATTAAATCTGGTGTCTATTTTGCTACACCTTCCCTTAAGTGCTAAGAACAGATAAAGTAATTGAGATGATTGATAATTAGATTGATAATTATAATTTGAATGTCAAAGGTGGAATCAAAACAATTAATCTCCTGGTTTTCCAAGTCATTTATTGTTTTTCGAGGTTTTTGTTTAATGAAACCAATACTTAGTATACCCTAAAATCAATGAGTATTGAACAATGAGTATTTATCCGTGAAACAAAAGTCAAAACACTTTTTATGTGCAGATTTTCAATCATCCAATTTCTTCATTGAATCGACTAGGAAAAGTTCAAAAATGAAGCATAGTCAGTCAGCTTCTTTCGAACGACACTGCAATAATTGCTTTTTTTTCAACATTTTTAGGAATGAATAATAAAAATGGTTCAAACTTCCAGAAACATACTTTTTAGCCATGAAGTTGAATTTTGGTGAAATTCTGAAAAAGGGACAAATTTGTTACAATTCAAAAAATAATAATTTTTAGTTTGAAAAATTGATTACTATTGAATTATTTACATAAAAAAAGGTCGTGGTCTTCGAAAATCATAATTTTCTAATAATTTCATTAGTCTACTCCGGAAAGTCGACTTTCACTTTTTTCAAGATAAAAATGTTCTCTAATAATTATGAGTAAATAGCAATTATAGTATTAGAAAAAAAAATTCAATTTCATGGACAGTACAGTAATAATTTTCAGGCAAGAGACATTTAATTCAGTTTGAGAGAAAAAATTCGTGCAATTCCTAATTTCACTGAAAATCTAATTAAATTCAACCCTCTTGAACAGCATGAAAAGAACTTTTCAAGTATTCAAGTTACTTGAATTCTCAATTAAAAGATGAATATTCTGTGCCAAATTAATCTGTATTTTCAGTTGATAAACAAATTATAATCGTCCAAATCATTTAGGTCAGAAAAAATAGAGTGATTCAACTTTCTTAATGTTGCGTTTACTGGAGTTTTCTTCAAACAAAGTTGATTAGAATCAATAAGTTATAATTATGAGAGACTGACATTTTTTACGTTAAGTATAGAAGAATCTGTATGTAATACAATGAAAATGATTGAGACAAGATCTTTTTTATTTTATCGAAATTATTATTTAGAATTAGAAGATTGACAAAAGATCTGACCCGACGCGGCTTGGGTCAAGAGCTGTCGGGGCTCAAGGCGATTAGTTTTAAATAAAGTTAATATTTTATTGGGCGCCAGTCAACTTTGACGAGGTAGACAACTCGATAGGTTTCAATTAATAATTTTAGAAAGAACAATAGACTCTAGACAAAGGGTAGGCTCGACTTTGGAGACCCAATAGAATTAGAAAGACCAAGGAGAGAGAGAATATACAGAATCACGGGCTACTTACTGTTGCTGCCTCGGAAATCGACTCTCCTGGTGTAGGTTGACAATTAATAAATTTCACAAACACAGAGTTGAGAGACTAACTGTATTTGACAATTAATAAAGACAAAAGAAAATGGTATATGCGAAAATACAAAAGTTCCCTGGCGGACCTGTCGATTGAAGAATCGAGTTGTTCAGTATATCGATTAGCATTCGAGTGGAGTTCGATTCGGATCTCAGCTGATGGAATCGAAAATGAATCGACTTCCGAGGAAATCGATTTACATCAATCGAGGCACGATCAACGTGTTGTTCAGTCGTTTCATTTAGGTGAATAATATGAGGCTGAGTCCTAATCGACTTGAGAATGGATCGATTCTATTACTGAGAGCACGGGAAACTATTATAGAACGACTAAACAACGAGTCGATTGGGGCTCGATCAACTTGAACAGTGCGGTCAATCGAGTTACAATCGAATTGACGGTCAGTCGATTCTCCAACTGAAAAGATGAAAACTATTTTGAAACGACTGAACCACCCCTCGAGTGTGGGTCGATTGACTGCAATAGCGGGGTCAATCGAATCACAATCAACTCGAGGGTCAGTCGATTCTCCCACTAAAAATATAAAAAGACTATTGCGAACGACTAAACAACCGGTCGATTGCTGCTCGATCAAATTGAACAGTGCGGTAAATTGAGTCGCAATCGACTTGATGGTCAGTCGATTCTCGAACTGAAAATATAAAAAAATATTGCGAACGACATAGCACCCATCGAGTGTGGGTTGATCGACTTGAATAATGGGGTCAATCGAGTCGCAATCGACTTGGAGGTCAGTCGATTCTTCCACTGGCAAGATAAAAAATATCCTAAAAGGATTACATAATGGTGAGAACTATATCTAGTGCCGCCCGACACGAGAGTGACGTGCTTCGACACGTTCGGCACTCGTTGAGTATGGCCCACCGGGTGCGCAACACAGTTGACGAAATTTCGTCGAGATGACCTAATTAGCTATGTCCTTTGGGCTAGTCGGGTCAGTCCATTTTATTTATTCAAATCCTTAAATGTAATTTCCTCGAGATTTCCGAGGCTGACGTTGGGGCAACTAATAATCGTGTTACATGATAATCAATTGTTTCACTTTGAGCAAATAGTAATAATAATTAAATTCAAAATTGCTGATATGATTTTAAAAAAAGTTCCGACTTAATATTCCATAACAGTAAAGAATAAACATGATGATACTTATGTAACATTATCTGATTCATTAACGTGAATTTCAGATCCTCAAAAGAGGACAGAGCAGAAGTCAAGCTATCATTCTAAACTTTGATTTTTAATCAGGTGATGATATTCTAAGCGCGGAATTATATTGGTGATATGAACAGCAGATTAATTGAATTACCGAGTGCACCAATTATAAAAATTTATAACAGTGTTGGCACGCCATTTCTACCAGAGTATCAACAAATATTGAATTCCAGAAATTGACTCTCTGGGTGATATTCGAGAAGAAATTGGTTTGTAATTATGATTGAAATTTTATTCAGTGACTAGCACATGAGCAACTCATTTATTGTAATATAAAAAATTAACAGCTAATAAATTGGGACATATTATTTCCATCAGTTGCATTGCTTTTTGTAATCAGAATGGTTATGAACCATGAATTGGAAAAAAAGAATATTGAAACTCATAGGAAAAAGGACATAATGAAAGGGAGATCAACTAGGGGTGGCGCTAGCAAATTTAAAAAAAGGCTATTTTTTAATTATATCATCTAACTGGAGAAATTTTTGGATACGCTGCGTAGCTTTATACCAAACTTGAGTCAGTAGGATCATTTCTGAATTTTATCAAAATTTTCCATGCATTTGTGAACATATATTTTTAGTAAAAAATTAAAAAATTTACGATTTTTTTAATTTCTTCCATCTCAAAATATTCTTTGATTTTTTAAAGATTTTTTTCATATTCTGGAATTTTTCCGTATTTTCAATACTTAAGGAGTTATTAATTATTTTAGATTTAAGAAAAACTACTCGTCGCACGGCCACCACTCCGCGCGCTTGACCACCCTACTCCCCACGCTCTTTGTGTAGTGGAACGTCCCCAAAAATTTCAATTAGTTCTTTATAAATACATATTATAAAAAGGCAAAAATTACAGTAATCTTTTTTGTTAATAATTTAATGATGCATAAAACTCTTTATTTACGGTGCAAATTGAATGAAAAAGTATATTCATGAAACCGTTTTGTCTTTTTAATTTCAATTTGATGGGGAATCAAAACTTGTTGGCGCCAAAGAGGCGTCAACCTAAAATTTAGTGGCTAAAAAAGCATTGGTGCGAAACTAATCCATTGCCGTAAAAATCTCTTTATGTATTATAGCAGCTCTATTTCCTTGTAATAAGTAATTCTTGCCATCTCTACTGCCAGTGATGTTTTTTTTTGTTTATTCTCCCAATCCTGAGTTACACAATAAATAAGGAGTTAGGAATAAAAGTTTCCGTTGAATTTGTGCACCATTTCATTGTTAATAAAAAAGGTTGTAATTTTTGCATTTTTATATTAAAAATCCAAGTTAACAAATGCAAGGAAAAATTTGATAAAATTCAGGAATGATCCTACTGACTCAAGTTTAGTATAAAGCTACTCAACGCAACCAAAAATTTCTCCAGTTGAATGATATGTTGAAAAAATACCCTTTTTTTTAGTTTATCAACAAATGAATAGTTAAATATGCAAATTGAGTGGAACTATCAAAAGAGTGAAAATGCAGAGCAGAGAACGAAAAAAATCAGCAATTTCTTTCATTCCCGTTAGATGACTGAATCAACAGTTATACTATGGCAAATTTTGGTTGAGAAATGAAAAAAAAAGAGAAAAATGAAGATGGCTGAAAAATCTGAAAATGATGTTTTTTGTAATTCCTCTCGCGGAGACATTCTGTGAAGGCTCAAGATGCATTCTGATTTTTTTTCAGATGTTTTAATCAACAGTTTCATACATCATTTGGATTTTGTAACTAAAACGGACTTTTCGGTGTTGGCGGAAAATCAGCTTTTGCGTGATTCAACTTTGAGCGCACTTGGCGGCTTAACGGTTGAAAGACTTTTCTGTAGGAAATTTAATGCTCTACAAAGCAGTTTTGATTTTTTTAAAACAATTTCCAGGTCCGCTAGAATCCCAAAAACTTAGTATGTGTTTCATATCATTTTTCCGTATGATATGCTATGGTTTTTATTCCTCTTTTGTCATCCTTGATTTCAGCTGAAATAAAGTCCTTATTCAACTGGTCTAATCTTAAACTTGTTTCCTCATCTTAAATTGAACGATTTTCATAAGCAATATTTTTTTCCTCTCTCCATTGCTGCGAAAGTTATTTGCAATTGAATATCTTTTAGGAAAGAATTGCAGCCAAATGCCTGGAGTACAAAATTGCGTTGTACTCACCTCATACTTCCTTCGACTCTGTCAGAGGAGGTGTAAACGATTGGCTGGCAGGCGCCTTCGGTGAGTCATTCTTCAGATCAAAGGAAACTTATCGCTCCGGATTATCAACTCAAGTATTTTCTCACGTCTATTCCTCTACATGCAAGTTAAATTCGTATGGATGATTTCTTCTTTCCTGTTTCGCGTGACAATCAAATTCATTACCATATTTTTTTTTCTTCCTATTCAACCGTGGAAAAATTATTTTCACAGAAACTTCGACGTGCAGACCTATTCAACCTTCATCGCAGAATCTCCAGAACGGGATGGGAAGAATTTGCACTTTAAAAACTCCAATAACTGATCAAGAAGCAGTAAATCTCATCAAACGTCGAACTAATTTGAGTTACGTGCGATTGGCAAGAGTTCACAGTCCAGGTAAATGACCTCAATTGATAGATAATTGTTGATAATTGTTGCAGTGAATGATCAGGTGAAAGCTAAGTTTGGATAGAAATATTCAACGTACCAATTCAAACCACATCTTTTCCAAAAGGCCATTGCATCCAAGATTCTAGGTGAACTATTAGGTGTATAACTTAATCTTTCCGTTTTTTTTATCAAAAAATATGTAACTTTATAAAATATATAAATACCAGATCAATCCTCGAAATATCGTCCATCGTTTTCGATGACCTTGCGCCATCGATCAGGCAACATACGAATGCCGGCATCACGGCAAAATATCAGTCTCAAAATATCACACCGCAAAATATCACATGAAAAAATATCACATGGATAAATATCATAATATGAAAATATCATTTGTGATAAATATGACTTTTTAAAATATCATATCATATCATATCATGTAATTTTTAAATTTTCAATAATATTAATTAATTTTTTTTATTTTCAATATATTCAATGATATTTCAATGGTTTTTCTTGATTTTTCGTCGCGTGTGTGAACACGGCCGTGTAATTCTTTCTTTCTCCGATAATTCATTACCACAATACGGCTATTTAAATCTATTTTCGGTATGTACACACTGCTGGGTTTTTCCCACATGTTTTGAGGTCACGAATAATTGCGGTGTATCAATAAAGTTTTTCTTCATGTACACTCGTAATTTGTGTTTTTTTTAAATTTGTTTATGATCGTTTTGGTTTGTGATATATTTTGTGTGTGATATTTTGATTTGTGATATTTTTTACCGGTGATATTTTGTTTCGTGATATTTTGAGGCACGATTTTTTGCCGGTGATATTTTGATATTTGATATTTTGCCGTGGAGCCCAAATGCCATCGCAAAAAAAAATTGCAGGCTTTGAGGCGATGAGGCGCCTTTCCTCCAAGGCGTGCTGCATGGACCGGAACAGATGATAATCAGAAGGGGCCAAGTCCGGTGAATAAGCCGTAGCGTTCTGCAGTAACTGTCTGACCCGTTTCCAAAAGTTCATAATAGAGTACACCCTTCATATCCCACCAGATGCAGAGGAGAATCTTCTTCATTTTTTGTTGGGGAGTGGATGTCGATGGTTGTCCGGGATCCACCCATGACTTTTTCCGTTTGGGATTAGCAAAAAAAAAATACGTTTTTCATCTCCCGTAACAATTTTTGACAAAAAATTTTTCTTCTGGCACTTGGCGAGCAACGAAAGGCACGTGTTCATGCATTGACCGTGGTTATGTTCAGTCAGTTGGTGTGGAATCCATCTTCCTAACTTTTGTATTTTTCCCATTGCGTGTAATCATTTAGAGACAGCTGCTTGAGTAACTCCTAGCTGAGCTGCAAGCTCTTTTTGGGTTTGTGTTGAGTCTTTGTCGAATAATTCTTGCAATTCAGCATGTTCAAAGGTCAGAGGCTGTCCAGGGCGTTCCCGGTCACTGAGATCGAAATCACTATCTTTAAAGCGCTTATACCAGTATCTACACTAGCTAGCCTCCCGTAGCACTCTCTTATGAAATTCACTTCGTGCTTGTATGTAAAAGATGGCAGCCCATGTGAAAAGACGATACAATTTTTTTCAGATTTTTTGGGCCATTTTTGGGGCAGCATAACGCTTCGAAAATTCTTATGAGATAATCTTCGTGGATAACGCCATGAATTTAACTTTTACGATTTTTTCGCGGAAATATTCTAATTTTCATCATTATGTCCTGGAACATGTTCTCAAAAAAGTCAAGAAAATGTTGAGTATTTTTCCGTATTCCTAAATTCATTCGTTACATAATTAGAAAACGTGATTTTGGGTGAAAATGAAGATTTTCAACCGCGTTCAACTGCCTTTGAAAACGGACTAATCCTTCGCGAATTCCGCCAAAAGATAATGCATTTTTCTTTCCATAATCTCAGAAAACGATAAGCGCTTCTGTTTTTTCTGAACCTGAAAAAAATGCAAAAGAAAATCGTCTGATTTTGGGCAGCAACAAGTGTTTGGATATTGTCCACTCCTATAATGGGGACCATATACCTGAAATGGAGACGGCCATCCAGCTGACTAGACCCTTCCTCGAAGGGTACTACGCTTTTTATTACGCCCAATATATCATAGCCTACTGTTACGTCATGATTTCCCAGGAAAAATATTCAATTATAATTTTAATAATCCAATAAATTCTGGAAGATTATGATAGTTATTTTCTCCTATTTTGAGCCTACCTTTCGGTAATAGCTCGGGATTGGAGTCGGGTGAATTGTTAGAATAACAGAGGATAAAAATTCACAATAAATGAAGTCAATATTTATTTAAATTATATTCAAATTTTAACGAAATCAAATTCTTTGAATTAAACAATTTACAAATGGATTAATTTTCACCAATTTTGAATATAAATTGTCATACAATATCAAATTTTTCCCTCGAATCAACGCGAAAATTTACATCAAGAATTGAAATTTTTTTTTTATATTGAGTTCCCCGAACTAAAATTCTCAAATATTCAATAATTATTGATTTTTTTTCTTGAATTTTTGAAACCGTTAAACTTTTCACCATGTCATTGCCCGATTTAAATCAAATTTATTATTTATTTTGTTTTACTCATCCATTTTTTTGTAGTTTCTTGAAGTAATCCAATATTCGGTTAGTTAGATTTGACAATAATTTCACGTAAAAAAAAAATTTACAATTTTTCGGAACGGAAGTTCACACCTTAATTAGTTTCTCTTGAAGAGAGAAGTAAGAAGAAGGACCAAATTCTTCAACTTTTGAATGATTTACACAACGCGTGAAATGACCCGGAACAAAGAACGGTGGGAACTAACTTTGGGGGTGCATCGACGCTCTTTTATTACCTCGGATTGCGAGGATGTACTAATTAATGTATGTGTATAAATTTTGATGTGTTTATCAAAGGAGGGGGCATGACATGATGTCGATGCACCAATGTACACCTCGGCACGGATACCTGAACCTCCTGGTGATAACGCTCTTGGAGACAATTCAAAGTGTTGCCACCCAACGATCACATGATCGTTACATGAACTTATTCTTTTTTTTATACCTTTTTTTCTTCATTAAATTCCTTCTTATATTTTCACGAGTAATATCGATTAAAAATGAGACTTGCTTTCGATTACCTCCCATGCGAAATGCTTTTTAAAACCACGTATTATTCATCATTTTCTAATTCCATTATTTTTCAATCATTATCAATTTTTCTTTCATTTCAATAAAAATGCGATACGTCTCCAGACGTAACACCCCCCTGATTAGACGATTGTTATCGATGAAATCGGAGAACAATCGTTCAATCCATTGTATCATTCTTGTGTTCATATTTTGCAATCTTCATTATCAATATCCTGTTTTTCTCATTTTCAATAGTTGCAATGATCTCCCAAGTTATTAGTGTCTCGAAGAAGAAATAACAATATGATCAGAACTGCAATAATATCACAATTCAATTTCCCATTCGATAAATCGAAATTATTATTAATACATCAAAATTTTTATAAGAAATCATTCGTCCATTCATTCTCATTCCTTTTTCCATATCAAGTTTGCACTTAAATCACTTCACTTTTTTTCAGAAAGCCATAAGGAAATTACATCACTTCACTCTTTTTTTTGTATCGAGTCCTGCTACGATGATGTCTCTGCGTAATATTTCTGATGATCCTCTATACTCTCATCTCTTATGTCTCTTGTATCAATTCAGTTTTGCCAATTGCTTTTGGAAATAAAATGATACTTTGAGTAGACGATCTTCTGTCTCTCTCTTCAGTTGCATAGAGAGTAAGCCCACGGTGCGACTGCGTACACTGCACTGATAGAAGGCTTTGCTTGTATCTACCTGACGGATTCGGTTGAAGGTTTTTTTTCGATTAGGTTCACATAACTGGACATTCATTGATAACTAGGACTAATCGCGGTACACTCAACTGCTGGTTGATTTTAACACCATTTGATTATGATAAATTTTTCGCTTGACGCAAACCGGGAACCGTTTAATACAACTGGGCGTTTGGTAATAGTTACCGAATCGAGGTTAGTTCAACGCGCCCTCTAGCTCAGGCTTTTCCTCACGTTGAAATCTTCAGAGAATATATAAACAAAAACGTATTTACTTTATTAAAATAATATAAGCGATTAATTGTAGGGTGTGAGTAAAACAATAACACTTTTAATTGGAAGAAGATTGTTTATAAACGGAAATTTCTGTAGTGAAATTGAAAAAAAAGTTTTACAAAAAAAGTTCTTATGGATATTACTCCAACTCCCCTGGTTTCTGATATGCTTATCACAAATCCAACCTGGTGAATAATTAATTGACTTACCTCGTTAAAATAAAATTGTAATAAATATTCATATAAAATACTTTTCATAGAATTCATCGGCGGCGGATTGTGTCCCTTTTGTGGTTATGTTTTGGATAATTAGCAAATCCTAAAATACATTCTCCTCTGTGTAACGTCGTTTTTTCTGGAAGTATAACCATTTTCAGTACATTTTCACTGCATTTCCACATCTAGACGGCCCGTATTTTCAAATTTTCACATGACAATCAATGTTTAATAATAAACAACAGAGAAGTTACACCAACTAGCGATTCGGTAACTATTACCAAATCCTCCAGTTGGCTCAACCTTAACCTCTCAACTGAGCCGTTCGGTAACTATCAACGGGCCATTCAATTGTTCTTATTTTACTGCGACATTAGGTAACAGTTACCGAGCCTGTGTAATATCAACCGAATCCTTCTATCAGTGTGGGAATATTCCTCCGTTTTAATTGTACATGAAGAATAGTTTTCAATGGAACCAATTGACTTATTCCACAAATTTTATTGATTGAATCAAAAATGCTCGGAAGTAATTTAAAATTTTCGATGGTCTACACAAAACTTATTTCAATAATTAAATTCAGTGACGTTGTGTTTACAAATTTTTTTTTTTTCAAATATTTCTTCAAATAGTTTTTTTTATTTT